AAACCATAGGTAAGAAATATAAATAAAAAGAATTCAGTGGGGACGAACACCCCCACTGTGCCTACTGTAAGTCCGTCCATACATCTAATAGTTTTGCTTCGTTCGGTAGGAAAGAAAAAAAAATTGAATGCAAGAGAGATAAGAAGGAATGGATAAGACATTCCTAGAGAAGAGATTATGTACTACTCTCTTTTTATTCGGTTTGGTGGAAGAAAAGAGAATAAATTCACATTTTATTATGTTCGTTAGAATGGAAAGAAAGTTAATTGTTTGTATACATCTTAATTGTTTGTACCATTACACCCATCATAGCTATAATATTGTAATTTATAGAGGATAGTATTGTAATTTAAAATTGTATTATATTATTTAGAATAATATTGTAATTCAAAACTTTCATAATACTATCACTTGTCTTCCTTCCTCTCCGCCCACATTTGGAGAGATGAAAATTCATAAAGAATGAAGGATGACTCATCCCTCTTATTATCATTTCTCTCATTATTTCCTCTCTACAAAACAAATGAAGTTTGTTCTTTCCTTCCTATTTTCTATCCACACATCTTCCTTCCTTCTTACCAAACATAACATTTAAGGTTATGTTTGGTATAACAAGAGGAAAAAGAAAAGAAATGATAACATTAATTATGAAAGAAAAAGGAAAGAATATTGTTAACCTCCTATAATGTTTTGTAAATTAGTGAGGGAAAAGAAAGAAAATGAGATTCTTAACCCTTAATAATGTTTGGAGGAAAGAAATGAAATGAAACTATTTTAATGAATTTATCACTATACCCTTTCATATTTAAAAGACAAATATGCAAGTAAGAAGTAGCAAGATAAATATAAGGGTTAAATGCTCTGACACCCCCCTCGGGTTTGGATTTATTGCACTCATATTATACCTCAGCCATTTTTTCTCTCACACCCATATGAAAAGTAGGAAAAAATTGATTTTACTATAATACCCTTACCTTTATTTTAACTTTAAACTTGTGTAAACAAATAAGACGTGAAATGATAATATTATCCTACACCCAATTCTCTCTCTCCCCCTCCCTGAATCGCTATCACAGTTCACTGTATTTCTTTCTATCCAAACAAATAAATAAATAAAAGGTAGAGGATGAAGGCCCAATGGTGGCCAATCCCTAACAGGATTTGCCACGTCATGAGGCAAGGGAAGAGGGAGGGTGGATCTTGACGGTGAGGCAAGTGAAGAGGGAGCGCTATTTCTTAATTCCTATATATATATATATATTTGTCAAGAGGTAGAGTGGTTATCAAAAGAGTTTTTTTTTTTTTTTTTTTGGCTAGACCAACTCTCTATTTGGTTGCTAAGAAATGGAAGGAAAATAAAATGGGGTTTTTTTTTTTTTTTTGGTAAATTCTATAGGAATGACTTTGCAAAATGGCCATGGCTTTTATTTTTTATTTTTTATTTTTTCCCCCTCCCAAGTGGTTATGGTGTGGTGGCGGTGGTTGGGGTGACAATGGTTTGTATGTTTTCTACTCTTCCGTGGTACTGTGGTTGTGGTGGTGTTTGGGTTCGCCATGAAGAATTGTTAGGGTTATTTTGGTCCATTAAATTGACATAATATTTACATAAAACCATAAAGGGTATTTAGGCATTATATTTTATCAATTTGAAGAAAGGGGTGTCACAACAAGATAAACCAAAGCTCGTGGGGGTGTATTAGCAAAATTGGTTCTGGTTTAATACAAGAGCAATAAACTGAAACCTCAGAGAGGGGGGGGGGTGTTTGAGAGCATTTAACCCTAAATATAATGATTGTGCAAAGTCTCAAACTGAAAACAAAGGGAGGGTTAAAGAGAGTAAAAACATGTCCTAAGACTCGTGTTGTATTTTGATTTTGTCTATTATAAAAGTAGGGGTGGTCACGGATCGGATTAGGCATCAATCCTAATCTGATCCGTTCCCAACGGATTAGGCAAATCTTAATCCGCCACCGATCCGTTATTCCACGAATCAGATCCGTGTGATAACGGATCAGATCAGATTGAATCTGTGGATTGGATTTTATCTAAATTATCCATTATTATTATTATTATTATTATTTATTATTTATTTATGTTTTAACCATAACCCAATAGATAAAATTTTAATTTATTTATATTGATTCATATATTTAAATAATTATTAACTAATATATCCTTAGAATCCATTAAATTATCATTAACTAATTAAATTAATTAATATATTATTTGAAAATATATGTATAAATTTCACAAATCAGATCGGATCGGACCGGACTCATGGATCGGATCGGATTGGACTTTTAATAGCCCAATGCGTGAGTTACAGATTCAATTTTTTTGAATCCGTCATCTATCCGTGGGTGTAGCAATCCGAAGATCGGATCGGATCGAATCGAATTCACGGATTATTTGTCCACCTCTAATAAAAAGATGCAAAAATGGTATTAGAAAAGTTTCACCAAACTTTGTAATCCTTTCCTTCCATTTCCTTTCATTTTTGGTAACATAACAAAACCTACTCACCACCATGCCTAATTTGTATCTCTCTAAATCCCTCCATTTCATTTCTTTTCCTTTAAAAATTTATACCAAATATACAATTTCTCTCCATTACCTTTCTTTTCCAAACTGGGCCTAAATGCATGAAAGAATGTGAATATTTATCCTATCCATTATAAAGACCAGCCCAAATTTTGGTATTTAGTGCTACCTTATTTAGCTTCCGAAGTGGTATTCAAAGTCCTTCCCAATTATTTTGGTTTCAACAATTAATTTCATCATTATCATGGTGAAATTTCATATACTTTTACTCGCCCTACAAAAATAATAATATTCATCATTTAAAAATTTAAAATTTCAAAAATGGTGACTTTAGTGTTGAAATCCATAAAATGATGAAATTCAAATTTAAAATTTTGAAATTCAAAATGGAGAATAAAATTTCAATATAAATGCGGTGAAGTTGCACCTCTAGAGGAGGCTAAAGGTTCAAATACCATAAGAACAAATTCAGTCAACATTAATAATAGAGAAAAGTGCAAAAAACCCATGTACTATCGGCAAACTTGCAACTAACCCCCTAAACTATCAAAATTGCATAAACCCCCTAAATTATACAAATTTGTTGCAGATCACTCCATCCATCACTATTCGGGTAGGATTCGTCATTGTTCTGGTCAGATCTTACCATTAAAGTGACGACGTCATATACACTATAATTTTAATTACTATAATACCCTTATGAGCTTGAAAAGACACTAAAGCCCCTTATTCTTGTAACAATTACACCCTTTAAGCACTCCCAAACCAGAGAGCGGGGGGAGAGACAGAGAGAGAAGAGACTAGAGAGAAAGAAGAGACCATAGAGAAAGAAGGGACTTGGCGGGATGGCTCGACCTCGGATGATGGCGGCTTGTGCACGGAGGACTTGGCTCTCGGTTGACTAAGCCGTAAAGAAGAAGCTTGGCTGCAGATGGAGGCAACGACGAGCTCAAGGGGGCTCAGCAGTGAACTGTGGACGGCTGTGTGCTCGAAACACGGACGGCGGGGTGCTCGGCTATGGATGGTTCAGCTATGGAAATGGCGGCATGAGCCGGTGAGCTTAGAACGAACGGTGGAATGGATCGGCGAGCAAGGTGGGCAAGGCGGTGACGACGATGGGCTGGCGCAACGATGCAGAGAAGTGTGACATAGCCGGTGGATCTGGCGGGTGGTGCAAAGGCACGGCACCGACGGGCAACAAGAAGCTCGTCTCTGTGGTGAGTTCGACCAGGATGATGGTGCTGTTGTCAAACCCATTGTTGCTCGATATCGTAATACTACCCATGCTCGGTGAGAAGTGTAGTTGCATTGTCGCCTCTGCAGCCCCCTCTTCTCAAAACCCTAGAACCATGAAATCCCTAATCCTCTTCTTCCCCCACCCCACTAATTCTCAACATCAGATCCACCGACACAATCACACAAAAGTGACGACGACAACTCATATTCAATTGAATTACTTGTTTCGTGCCTTCTTGGAGGCCAATGCATTTGAATAATTTACAATAAATTACAGTTTTGTGTGTGCATGTTTATGTGTGATTTCAATTGCAGATGAGAGTGAATGAATCAGAGTATGTTGTTTGTAAATTTGTAATCGCTTTCTCTCTTTCCGGATTGGAGTAGAGAGAGAAAAAGTGTTGTGGCGGCAGCGACGGCACGGAGGCGGCGGCTACGAGGTTGAGGTCGAAGGAGGAGGCATGGTGTTTAAAACTTGAAACTACATCCTTTATTTTAAGGGTATACTTGTCTTTTAGAATTTCCGGCACCGGTCATTAACCTGGTGGATTTAATTGCAACAAAATTAAAGCACAAGAGGTTTTTTTGTAGTTTAGGGGTAACTTGCAAAACCCCCATAGTTTTGGGGGGGGGGGGGGGGGGGGGGGGGGTTTGGGGGGTTTATGCACTACTCTCTTAATAATAATGATAATAATGTTAAGCATCAACATCTAGCGCAGATGTCATGATAACCTTATGCTTAAAATGCATACAGATCCACATGATAAAAGCGTTTTCACATGGGCACACACAAAGAAGTCGATCATTAGTTTAAAAACCAATGCGCGCGCGCACAAAAGGGATCTGTCTAGTTTTGTAGTTTAGGGGTAACTTGCGAAACCCCCATAGTTTTGGGGGGGGGTGGGGGGGGGGGGGGGTTTATGCACTACTCTCTTAATAATAATGATAATAATGTTAAGCATCAACATCTAGCGCAGATGTCATGATAACCTTATGCTTAAAATGCATACAGATCCACATGATAAAAGCGTTTTCACATGGGCACACACAAAGAAGTCGATCATTAGTTTAAAAACCAATGCGCGCGCGCACAAAAGGGATCTGTCTAGTTTTCTGCATCTGAAGGAACATATTGTTTACTTCAACTTGAATGGTGGTGCACTGACCTGTCAAATACCTATTGTTCTAGAAACCTGAATAATTCAAATAGGAAACAGCCACACTTCGATCAATTAAAAACTGAATATCCTATTGTAATGCTTCTCGTAGCTTGATGCTTGGAAAGAAAACTTCCTGAGTTACTGTTATTCTATTCATACACATATACATGTTTTGCTTCTGGAAGCAGTAAAAGGATACTACTAAGCTTTTTGAGCTCCTTGTCTTGCTCTTGATGTTTGTTGCCCTATCTCAACACACAATAGGTGAATTGGTTTTCTTTGCCCTTTAATTCTAGGGTCCATGAATGTACTTGTATCTACAAAGTGGATCTGTCTAGTTTTCTGCATCTGATGGAGAAGCTAGTGACTTCATTCTTTTTGCACCCTTTTGTCTTCTCTTTTCTTTCCATATTATTCATAGCATTCCTCGTCAAGAAATGGCTCCTCAATACTTCTACTATCAACAAACATCTACCACCCTCACCACCAAAGCTCCCAATTATAGGAAACTTCCACCAACTGGGCTTCCTCCCTCACCGCTCACTCCGATCTTTAGCTCGATGACATGGCCCTCTCATGCTACTTCACCTCGGCAGTACACCAACACTCATCGCCTCATCTGCTGAAGCTGCTCGAGAGATCATGAAAACACATGATATCGTCTTTTCAAACAGGCCAAAATCCAACATAGCTAAACGGCTTCTCTACGATTTCAAGGACGTGTCCGCGGCCCCTTATGGTGAATTCTGGAGGCAGATGAAAAGCATTGTTATGCTCCAGCTTCTAAGTAAAAGAAGAGTTCAGTCTTTTCATTTTGTCAGAGAAGAAGATTGAAGAGTCATCTTCTTCGTCCTCAGCATTGAATTTAAGTGAAATATTCACGTTGCTAGCAAATGATGTGGTGTTTAGGGCAGCTGTTGGGAGAAAGTACAGTGGAGGGGAAAGTGGGAAGAAGTTTACGCAGCTATTGAAGGATCTCATGGGGTTAATGGGCAGTATGGATGTTGGGGAATTCATTCCATGGCTTGCATGGATCAATCATGTCACTGGTTTATATGGTAAAGTGGACAGAGTTGCAAAGGAGATTGATGAATTCCTGGAGCAAGTAGTTGAAGAGCATATGAATGTCCTGAAAAGGAAGAATAATGGTGATAAGAGAGTTGAAGAGGAAGGCAGGGAGGATTTCCTTGATATTTTGCTTAGGATCCATAAAGACAGTACTGCTGGTCTTTCCATTGATAGAGACTGCATCAAAGCTCTCATCTTGGTGAGGATCTCTCTCTCTCTCTCTGCGTGACAAATTAGACTTTTATTAAGAACCAGAAGATAAAACACTAACATTCCTACGGAGTCAAGACAATACAGACAACTCATCAGCTAAACAAGAAACATTAATAAAACAATACAAATGAAACATCTGCATCAGAAAACAGCAATGGAATACTAATTTTTTGTCATGCACTGTGTGTGCGTGTGTGCGCGTGCACTATGGCTAGTTGAAAGGATATTCACATCAAGGATACTCACATCTATTAAACAAACTTTACTAACCATCTGAAGTTGTTTTATCTTTGGATTCTTGTAGGACATCTTTGCTGCTGGAACTGATACTGCCTCCACATTCCTAGAATGGGCAATGACCGAGCTATTAAGACATCCCAGAGTCATGAATAAAGTGCAAAGTGAAGTGAGAGAGATTGTTAAAGGCAAACCACACATCACAGCTGATGATCTGGAGGAAATGCACTACCTTAAAGCAGTGATCAAAGAAATTGTTCGTTTGCATCCTCCTGTCCTATTAATCGTACGTGAAGTGAGTGAAGATGTCAGAGTAATGGGCTATGACATTGCAGCTGGAACAATGGCTATGATCAATGCTTGGGCAATCGAAAAAGATCCCGTTTCATGGGTTGAACCTGAAGAGTTTCAGCCTGAGAGGTTCTTGAATTCTTCTATAGATTTCAGAGGGCATGACTTTGAATTGATTCCATTTGGAGCTGGCAGGAGGGGCTGCCCGAGGACCTCCTTCGCAATGGTCACCAATGAGTTTGTGTTAGCAAATCTCGTGCACAAGTTCGATTGGGCATTGCCTGGTGGAGCCAAGGGAGAACATCTGGACATGACTGAATGCCCTGGTGTTACAATCCGCAGAAGAATACCTCTCCTTGCTGTTGTAACTCCATGTTCTTGCTAGTGTAAAATGTGACCGTGTCATATCTGTTGCATGTTTCCTGGTTTCAAGAATCAAACATATTTAGAAAGAGACTGTGTAAACATAGACCAACTATTATTAGCTTAAAGCATTATTGGATTGTGAATTATATATGAACTAAAATCCGAAAAAAAAAAACTTTCTGACTTGTCACATTTGTTTGTGTTACACTAATCTTGTCTGGTATAGATGGAGGAATGTCAAAAATGTATTTCTCTTTACTGAACACAGAGCTTGAAGAAAAATTGCAATTGGATACAGGAAGCTGTCAAGGTGATCTACCTCGTGAATAATTTTTCCAGTTAATGATATAGCACTGAGCTCAATCAACACAAGCGACAAAATGAAACATCAAGAGCTTAATGAGTTCAAGAGACTACAGTAGCTTGAAATATGGACTTTCACTTTAAGCAAGTCACCTACAATACCAGATACCTCATCATTGGAATTAAAATCCCCGACTGAAAAGTTCTGTGGTAAAATGTGGATGGCAAAAGAGAACAGACCTCCTACGAAGACCCTGCCCAGCCAATATGGGAACCCGGCCGCCCTGACCCAAACCCGTGTCCATCTGGTTCTTTTAACCCATCCCAGAAACACATCTAAACCCGGCAGTCTAGTTTTCCCCAATGACAACACAAGTGGAATTTATAAGACAGTGAAAAAGTGGAAACAAGAAATGATACTGAAAAGCTACACAGATATCACAAATCATATACATTTTTGAAAGATTAAGGGAGATAAAAACACACATTCTAAAATAGGGGATGAAATTGATATAAGGAGTATACCTTAGGGGCGTTTTCCGCCCTTAACCCAACATATTACTCCAATTAATCGTGGACCATTGATTTCAATTATTAAGGAATATGAGAAATTTTCATTGGCCGGCGACATTTTAGATCCTCGAGTGTGGAATATTTTTTCCATCCATAAAAATAAAGAAGTACTCATCAGTTTAAAAACAAGTGCGCGCGCACAAAAAGGATCTGTCTAATTTTCTTCATCCGATGGAGCAGCTACTCACTTCACCTATTTGTTTACTTCCACTTGATTGGGTGCCTCACTGGCATGTCAATTAGTACCTTTTGTTCTAGAAGCCTGAATAATTCAAATAAAAAACAGCCACACTTGATCAATTTAAAACTGAATATCATATTGGAATTCTTTTTATATCTTGATGCTGGGAAACTTCCTGTTATTCTCTTCATACACATGTCCATATTGTTGCCACATCTCAACAGGCTATAGTTGACTTGTCTTTCTTTGCCCTTTAATTCAAGGGTCTATGAATGGACTTATCTCCACAAAGTGGATCTGTCTAGTTTTCTGCATCTGATGGAGCAGCAGCTAGTGACTTCATTCTTTTTGCATCCTTTTGTCTTCTCTTTTTTCCCCATATCATTCATAGCATTCCTCATCAAGAAATGGCTCCTCAATACCTCTACTATCAACAAACACCTACCACCTTCACCACCAAAGCTCCCAATTATAGGAAACCTCCACCAACTGGACTCGCTCCATCACCGCCCACTCCGATCTTTAGCTCAACGACATGGGCCTCTCATGCTGATTCACCTTGGCAGCACGCCAACGCTCGTCGCCTCGTCCGCTGACGCTGCTCGAGAGATCATGAAAACACATGATGTTGTTTTTTCAAACAGGCCGAAATCTGAGATCGTTAAACGGCTTCTCTACGATTACAAGGACGTGTCCATGGCCCCTTATGGTGAATTCTGGAGGCAGATGAAAAGCATTTTTGTGCTCCAGCTTCTAAGTAATCAAAGTGTCCATGGCCCCTTATGGTGAATTCTGGAGGCAGATGAAAAGCATTTTTGTGCTCCAGCTTCTAAGTAATCAAAGAGTCCAGTCATTTCATATTGTCAGAGAAGAAGAAACAGCCCTCCAGATGAAGAAGATTGAAGAGTCAGCTTCTTCATCCTCGGCATTGAATTTAAGCGAAATATTCACGTTGCTAACGAACGATATGGTGTGTAGGGCTGCTGTTTGGAGAAAGTACAGTGGAGAGGAAAGTGGGAAGAAGTTTATGCTGCTATTGAAGAATTTCGTGGGGTTATTGGGCAGCATTGATGTTGGGGACTTCATTCCATGGCTGACATGGATCAATCATGTCACTGGTTTTTATGCTAAATTGGACAGAGTTGCAAATGAGATTGATGAATTCCTGGAGCAAGTAGTTGAAGAGCGTACGAATGCCCTGAAAAGGAAGAGTGATGGCGATGAAAGAGTTGAAGACGAAGGCAGGGAGGATTTCCTTGATATTTTGCTTAGGATCCATACAGACAATACTGCTGTTGATAGAGATTGCATCAAAGCTCTCATCTTGGTAAGGATCTGTGTGTGTGCGTGTGTGGCAAATTAGAATTTTATTAAAGAACCAGCAAGATACAACACAACACACACTCCCACGGAGTCAAGACAATACAAACAACTCATCAGCTAAACAATACAAAATAGTGAAGGAATACAAATGAAACATCTGCACAGAAAATAGCGAGAAATCAACAAATACATCTCAGAAGAACTAGCTGTAAGATATATATTTTGGTAAATTCCTGGACTTGGCCCAGCGTAGTCTCACCAAGAGCTTCTAATATATGCTAAATCCAGTAGCATTCATAGCAGAAAGGAAGAAACTTCAATTGAAGACCAGGTTTCCAAACTTAGAGCAATCCAGTTAAAGTACTCTTACTAGATATTTCCCAATTACTAGTCTTACAAAATCATTCAACTAGCCTCGCGGATCAATCCAATCCAGTGAGATCAATTTTGAATGCAAAAAGCATTGAACAAGCCTCAACTTTCCAATGAAAACAGAATGGAACTTTATCTACAGTGTATAGTGAACTTTGTACAAATTAGTAATCCAATCTAAATGTTCCTTTAGGCTGTATTAAGAGAAGATCAATTCAGCACAAACCCTTACAAATCTGATTGATATATAGCTGTTAATCATTTAATAATTGAGACTATTAATTCTTTGTCATGCATTGTGTGTGTGTGTGTGTGTGTGTGCGTGCCTGGTTGCAAGTATATTCAAATCAAGGATACTGGCATATATTGAATAGACTTTACTAACCATATGAAGTAATTTTATCTTCTGATTCTTGTAGGACACCTTTTCTGCAGGAACTGATAACACCGCCACAGTCCTAGAATGGGCAATGACAGAGCTATTAAGACACCCCATAGTCATGAATAAAGTGCAATATGAAGTGGGAGAGATTCTTAAAGGCAAACCACAAATAACAGCTGATGATCTGGAGGAAATGAACTATCTTAAAGCAGTGATCAAAGAAACTGTTCGTTTGCATCCTCCTATCCCATTAATCGTACGTGAAGCAAGTGAAGATGTAAGAGTAATGGGCTATGACATTGAAGCCAGAACAATGGTTATGATCAATGCTTGGGCAATCGGAAAAGACCCCGTGTCATGGGTTGAACCTGAAGAGTTTCAGCCTGAGAGGTTCATGAATTCTTCTATAGATTTCAGAGGGCATGACTTTGAATTGACTCCATTCGGAGCTGGTAGGAGGGGCTGCCCAGGGACCTCCTTCGCAATGGTCACCAATGAGTTTGTGCTAGCAAATCTAATGCACAAGTTCAATTGGGCATTGCCTGATGGAGCCAAGAGAGAACATCTGGACATGACTGAATGCCCTGGTGTTACAATCCGCAGAAGAATACCTCTCCTTGCTGTTGCAACACCATGTCATTGCTAGTGTAACATTTTACATGTCATGTTTGTTGCATGTTTCCTGTTTTCAAAAATAAAACATATTTAGAAAGAGTGTGTAAATATAGACCAAGTATTATTAACTTAAAGCATTATTGGATTGTGAATTAGATAATATGAACTAAATTCCTAAAATGAAACTTTTCTTACTTTTCACATTTGTTTGTGTTACAGTCATCTTGTCTGATATAGATGGAGAGATGTTGGAATGTAATTCTATACTGAACGCAGAGTTTGAAGAAAAATTGCACTTGGATACAGGATGCTGTCAAGGTGATCTACCCAAATGATATAATATTAAGAGCTCAATCAACACAAAAGACAAAATGAAACAACATCACTGTTATAATGAGCTTAATGAGTCCAAGCGACTGCAGTAATTTGGAATATGGAATTCCACTTTAATCAAATCACCTACAATACAAGATACCTCATCATCATCACCATTATCAACAACGACAATAACAACCAAGCCTTTTTCCCAACTATTTGGGGTTGGCTACATGATGTTTCCATTCCGTATTCATAGGATTCATGTTCATATTAGACATGAATTTTTTTTACGCTGGCTGACAAGCTACCTAATGCAACCCTACTCCTTTATCCGAGCTTTGGACTGGCTGTGTAAAGAACAGAGGCGGAGTTACCAGATACCTCATCACTGGAATTATAATCCCAGGCTGAAACGTCCAATGGTAAAATGTGGATGGCAAGAGAACGGGCTTCTTATTCCAACACCACCCAACCAATATGTGCACTTGTCCACTCTGAACGAAACTCGTATCTGTCTTCTTCCTTCAACCCATCCAAGAAACCCATCTAAACCCTGCAGACTAGTTTGCCCAATCAGAACACGAGGAATTTATGAGATGGTAAAAAGATAGAAACAAGAAATGACAATGAAAGGTTGTGGGCTGTCGTTGGGTGTTTGCAGTTAAGCATATTCCAGATAGGGCATTGCCACGCATGCTCCTTCTAGGATGGTTTCTCACCTTTGTCGCTCCTAGTATGGGCTCAAGCAATCCCCTCAAGCTTGGTCTGATCGATTTGGCATTGCCACGGTCCAGTTTGGTTTCCATCAGAGTGCAACTGATCATAACTTGTTCTTATGCCATTCAGGTGGTAAGATAGTTGCTCTCATTGTGTATGTGAATGATATTGTTCTTACTAGAGATGACACTACCGGGATTGCTGAGGTTAAGAGCTATCTTGGCTGCTAATTTGAGATTAAGGATCTTGGTCCCCTTCGGTACTTCTTGGGCATTAAGGTGGGTCGTTCCTAGGCTGGCATTTTCATCTCTCGGCGTAAGTACGTTCTTGGCTTGCTTCATGCTTCTGGCCAACTTGGCGCTTATCGTGTTGATTCTTTGATTGAGCAGAATCATCGATGGATTAATTCTGAGGGGTAGTTTTGTCGGATGTTATCAACGGCTAGTTGAGAACTTCATCTACCTGTCCATGACTCGACCTGACATTGCTTATGCCTCGAGTGTCGTGAGTCAATTCATGCACTCTCCTCGCACCCCTCATTTTGGTGCAGCTATTCGGGTCCTTCGCTACCTGGCCGCATTATTTTGTTTGCCAATCATGGTCACTTAAGGGTTGAAGCCATGCTAATATGCAGGATCAATTTTAGGTAAGAGGTCAACTTTTGGCTAGTGTACTATTATTGGTGACAACTTGATTACTTGGCACGGTAAGAAGCAAGTTGTTGTCTCCCAATCGAGTACAAAGACAAAGTATACGGATGTGGCTCTTGAAGTGTGGGAGTTGTTATGGCTGAAAATGTTGATGACAAACTTGTGCCTTCCGGTGTCACTTCCATTCTTACTTTACAGTGACAACAAGTCTACCCGCCAGACATTCTTACAAAGGGTGTTAGTGTCACGCCCCAAATTCCACGACTCGGGTCGCGAAGAAAAAAAATAATAATAAAAATAGATAATTAAATAAATAATTAATTAATTATATTCACTTGAGTAAATAAATAATTAATTGGAGAAAACCGGTGTCATCCACCACATAAATAATAATAATAATAATAATAATAGTTTCATAAAAGAAATAATAGCATGATTAATTAATCATTTATATTAGACTATCCAAATGAACCCACATGTACACAACTTAAACAATAATTGTTCAATCCCACTATATAAGTCATGGCCACCATGGCCTCATTACAATCCATAAGGTGAGAAATAATGTTAAGGGATTACATGAGTAAAGATAAAAGAGAAAATTCTATAAAAACTCCAAAAGATAGATGGGTGAGTTCCTACGTCATTTCCCTCCTCCAAAAGAATATTACAAACATGTCATCAAATATAATATCCAAAATACACTGTGCCAAAATACAAGTCCAAAAGTAAACTACACAATGGATGTCACAATTATCACAAGTAGCTCAAAAATGTTATCAAGATCCCAATCAAGCTAGGGATGAGGAACCTCCTCTTGGGCAATGCCCTTTCCTGAAAAATATAAGAATCAACGGGGTAAGCAACGAATTGCTCCGTAGGAATGTCCCATGAATATAAACTGGGTTTCTCAAAATTCTACAAACATTGTATGGTCATACAAAACATGCTCCCTAACGTCTAGTCTCAAGGGGAACCTAAATAGGATCATCCTAGTCTAGCATAAATAATATTAATTCATTCATCAAGACAAACATAAATAATATAGTGTAATGTACATAAATTCACAAGTTGCAATAACACATAAATGCTAACTTGAAAATAAAAGTCGAAATCAATTAACAGGATAACTCGGAACACACCCACACTCCTGATCACATAGCCATGCTATGCGCCTAAATAAAAATAGTCGTTTTCGGATTACTAGTCTGCCGCAAACTAACCAATTAGCCAATATAAAGTGGGGAAACTCATGTTTCACCCGCGAGCGCCGAGCCCTCGCATTCTCAAGATAACAACCCCCGAGTATCTCCCAAAATCAACAAACAAGTACACAAAATAATCCATATACCATGATATGTCCAAATTGCACTTCACATGCGCACATAAATTAAACTAATCACATAATCCATGTCCTATGGTCCAAATCACTATAATGGCATACTCTTTGATGCAATGTCAACAAATTGGGTATTTTAAAGTCATTTAAATTCATGTTATCATTATATCAAATTTCAAGTGTGTAAAAGTTTAACATCATCATAGAAATATACATCTTCAAAATTAACCTTCACAAAATAACAAATACATGATAATTCCATGAATAAACACAAAATATAAGGCACTTTACACATTAAGATCTAGGACTTTAATTAACATCAACAATATCAACAATGGAACAAATAACATATTACACATGAAAATTGATATAAAAATTCAATAAAACATTATGGACAAGCAATTAAATCATTATATAAGCTCTCTAATTAAACCCACACACACAAGTATATGCATAACTCACACAATGGTCATAAAATTCCAAGAACTCCTAGGTTATAAGCACAATACACCCCTACCTCAAGCTAGGAGCAAACCCTAGCTACTCCAAAAGAAAAATGTGCTCCAAATCCAAAATTGATTGAGGGGTTTTGTTCCTCTCGTAGTCCCTGTCAATTTTCCTTCTATGCAAGCTCAAAATCTCAAAGGTTGGAGGTGAAATGGTGGAGAAATGGTTGAAGTAAAATGAAAAATAAAATAATGGGAGAGAGAAGAAAGTGTGTCAGTGAAGTAGGAGAGAGAGAGGATTTTTGGGCTTTTATTCCACTTTCTCTCTCTATATAAACACACATATACATATCACACACATTCCCATCCACACATATCTTACCCACTAGTCAACCTAGGCCCCACAACAAAACAAAATGCAATAAAAAGAAATAAAATAAAAAAGGAAGAAAATAAAAATAAGACTTGGTCATCACAACCTCCCCAACTTAAAGGGATTTCGTCCTCGAAATCAGGTCATACCTCAAGTCGCGAACAAATCCGAGTACTTGGAGCGAACCTCCTCCTCCCGTTCCCAGGTAGCCTCCTCAACTCCGTGATGCCTCCGTAAACCTTGACCAATGGAATGGTTTTGTTTCTTAACACTTGCTCCCTAGTGTCGAGAATCTGCACTGGCCCCTCCTCGTAAGTTGCATTCTCATCAACCTCAATGTCGGCCCACCTCAAAATGTGTGACAAATCTAGCTCATACTTCCTCAACATAGAAACATGGAATACATTGTGAACCTTATCTAAATGTGGGGGTAACGCCAAGCGATACGCAACCTCACCAACGCAATCCAAGATCTCGAATGGCCCAATGAACCTAGGAGACAATTTCCCACTTCGCCCAAAACGCAGTAATCCTTTGCGTGGAGCGATCTTGAGAAAAACATGGTCTCCCACCTCAAAAGACAAAGGTCTCCTCCTTTTGTCAGCATAGCTTTTCTGCCTATTTTGAGCCGTGACCAACCGTTGTCGAATCAACTTGATTTTCTCCGTGGTCTCAATAACAATGTTAGGACCCAAAGCAGCTGTTTCTCCCACCTCGGTCCAACAAACTGGAGATCTACAAGGTCTTCCATATAATGCCTCGAAAGGTGCCATCTCAATGCTGGCCTGATAACTGTTGTTGTAGGCAAACTTTACCAAGGGCAAGTGCCTCCAAAATCTAAGATGCAAGCTCGTAGCATATCCTCCAATGTCTGAATGGTACGTTCTGACTGACCATCAGTCTAGGGATGGAATGCCGTGCTAAAATGAAGCCTTGTGTCAAGAGCCTCCTGAAAACCCTGCCAAAAATTTGAAGTGAACCGTGGATCCCTGTCCGAAACAATAGACACCGGAACCCCATAGAGCCTGACAATCTGCCCCACATACTACTTACTGAGCTTCTCTGCATCATCAGATACTTGCATAGGCAAAAAAGTGAGCTGTCTTTGTCAACCTGTCGACTATGACCCAAATGGCGTCATTCCCCTTCTTTGACCACGGAAGTCCCGCCACAAAATCCATGGTAATGTGCTCCCATTTCCACTCCGCTACTGGCAATGGTTGCAACAAACCCGCTGGCCTCTGATGCTCGGCCTTCACTTGTTGACAAGTAAAGCACTTGGCCACAAAATGTGCAACATCCCGTTTCATACCCTTCCACCAAAACTGACGTCTTAAATTGTGATACATCTTGGTACCACCTGGATGAACAGTAAGTCAAGAATGGTGAAAGTCCTGAAGGACACTATCACGACAAGGTAAAGGGACATACATCTTTCCCTTGAACCTAAGACCTCCATCTGAATGTAATGTCCAACCATCTACAGACTCGCCACCTGAAATCCATGTGCGAATGGACTCCATCTCATTATCTTGCTTTTGTGCCTCAATTACCCCGCTAACAAGGGTTGGTTGAGCCACAAGACTAAACAAAGTAGCCGATGCATCATCATCACTGAAATACAGACCCATCTCTGCAAAATCCTCCATCATTTTCCATTTCCGGATGGCAATGCTAGCCAAGTTTCCATGTGACTTCTTACTCAAGGCATCTGCCACAACGTTAGCCTTTCCTGGGTGATACTGCAAATCAAAATTATAGTCCTCCATATGCTCCACCCATCATCGTTGCCTCATGTTCAAGTCCTTTTGTGAGAAAAGATACTTGAGACTCTTATGGTCGGAGAAAATCTCAAACTTCTCCCCGTACAAGTAATGTCTCTATCCCTTCAATGCGAAAATCATTGCCGCCAACTCCAAATCATGAGTCGGATAGTTCTGCTCATGAGTCTTCAACTGTCTAGACCCATAAGCAACCACCCGTTCCGTCTGCATCAAGCCGCAACCAAAACCATCCCGTGAAGCGTCACAATAGATCACATAACCCAAACCACGTTCAGGAATCACCAAAACTGGAGCCGTAGTTAATCTGGTCTTCAACTCCCGAAAGGTTAGCTCACAAGCCTCATTCCATACAAACTTGATTCCCTTGCGAGTAAGTCGAGTCATAGGTGCCATGACTCAACCTGACGTTGCTATGCCGCGAGTGTAGTGAGTCAATTCATGTACTCTCCTCGCACCCCTCATTTTGGTGCAGCTATTCGGGTCCTTCGCTACCTGGCCACATTATTTTGTTTGTCAATCATGGTCACTTAAGGGTTGAAGCCATGCTAATATGCAGGATCAATTTTAGGTAAGAGGTCAACTTTTGGCTAGTGTACTATTATTGGTGACAACTTGATTACTTGGCACAGTAAGAAGCAAGTTGTTGTCTCCCGATCGAGTGCAAAGACAGAGTATATGGATGTGGCTCTTGAAGTGTGGGAGTTGTTATAGCTGAAAATGTTGATGACAAACTTGTGCCGTCTGGTGTCACTTCCATTCTTACTTTACAGTGACAACAAGTCTACCCGCCAGACATTATCCAAATTTAAGAGTGCATTGTCCAAGTTAGGAGTCTCAGAAATCTAGGCAACTAGACCCAAGTTAGGAGTCTCAGAAATCTAGGCAACTAGCCGAGATATGTTAGCCTAGAATCATGGAATTAGCCTAGATATAGTCTAAAATCATGGGATTTGACCCTATTTACCCATGTATTTAGGCATAGAATTTGCGGTGATTTTATTTGGTTTCCTTATCGGTAATTTTTAAAATTTGTTTTTTTAGTATATGGATTAGTCTCCTTCAAGCCTTTACCAAATATAATTTGTACACATCTCTATTCAAACCTGACCTGGATTCGGTAAGGATCTTCTGAAGAAAATCTATGTTTAATTTAATTTAAAATTCAAACTCAAAATTAAAGTCCAGAAAAATAAATGAATCATATGCTAACCCTGATCCTGACCGAATTTATGATATCGAGGATATGGGAAAAAAAAAAAAGTTATAAAAAATCTTAGTAGTAAATTAGTAATTGCTTGTAATTGAGTAAAAAATACCATGGCTCCCCCATCTCTTTCTAGCTGCAGCCATATCTTTCATTTGCTTCAACTCGTATTCCTCTTCAACTGCTTGTACTCGTATGACTTTTTAATACTACATAAAAATCAAAGATGACCCGTCACATTAAATTCAGGCATACACACATACATAGTTACGTACATATACATATATATATATATACACACACATAAGCATATAGAATTATAGATCGATAACAGATCAAATTGAAGTATTGAACAAAAGATTGAAAAGGTATAATAAGATATACTGACCCTGTGTCGAGTTCTCGCATGAATTTCGGCAACTGGAGCCTGACAGTATTGAAGGGTGAAAGGCCAAGACCCAGAGCTGACCCAAGAAGACCTCGAAAATTGAAATTTGGTTATATCCACTTTGTGCATAATAGACCCGAGTAATGAAGAAGAAGAGAAGAGACCAATTGGGTACTCCAAGTGGTAAGGTGGGTTGGGCTTGTAGACGAGTTGGTCCAATTAATTAATGTAAGAAAAATGCTTTATAAGGCAATAGGGTTTCTTTGATTGGGCCTGCCCAAGACCCACCAGTTACAATATTGTTCAATTGCATAGTAGTACATGGCATTCTAGTTACAATAATATCCAATTCATATAAATGAATTCAATAGTTTTCTCATGACAATAGTTTTCTCATTTAATCACGGAATTGAAAGGCTTATAATATATATCATTTGACTATTCACATCTTTAAAAAAAAAAAAAAAAATTGTCTCAATTCAGTTGTTAAATACTCTATTTAATTCCGTTATATTCAAAATTGTCGTGGAATGGATAATAATCTTCTAAAGAAAATTGATATTTAATTCAATTTAAACTTCAAAATCAAAATTAAAGTCCAAATCAGGTATAAATGAATTTATATACAACTTCTGAAAAAAATCTATATTTAATTCAATTTAAACTTCAAAAGTGTTTTCAGACATTTTAAGAAAGATATATAGTGATGACATTAGCTTTAACGGAAACTGACAAGAACAGTTAATTTGTTACAAAGGTGTTAACTAGAGGGAGGTGAGTGAGATTCTTCAAAACTAAAGATAGCGAGTGTAATTTGTCCTATTCATAGGGGAGGTAGGTATAATTGGGTAAGTTAACTAAAAAAACAAAAAAGTTAGCTCGTTAGGTTTCATGTCAGAACCTTAAATTAAGTCAGATTAAATGAATTACCGTACAACTTCATGCCTTGGCCCCTAGGTGATAAATAGAGACATGACAGTGGTCGGCCATGTTACCAAACCTACTCCATTTGAGAAGTTCTAGTACAACCATACCACTTCGGATATGGACAAGTGTGATTTGGGGGGGTCCCATCCTTTCTAATTTTGTATATAAAGTTAATTTTACATCCTTTCTAATTTTACTTAATTCTTACCAAAAATAAATAAATATAAGTTAAATAATAGAAAGGAAGTAAATGATTACAATCTTATCAATTTATAAATAATTTTATGTCGAGCATGAAAACATCGAATTATAATCTTAAAATTTAAATTTAAAATATATATACTAATTTAAACTCTTTCAATTTTAAATCTAAATCTTCTTTCATTCTAGTATCATCAACATAAATAGTAGTATATTGTGATAAGATTAAATGGGTTCATGAATCATAATATGATGAAACAAGAAATAATCACACTCTAATCTCAAACAGTTCTCGTGTTATTTTTGTTCATCAAGCAACCTACTGCATGCACCCTCTACAGTTGGGTCAAACATAGACTAATTTAATCATTTTAATCTGCAGTCCGTCTTTACAGTTTTGTACTAATTAGGTCAGCTTAAACCCGTTGTTATTAAACATAGTCTATTTATATTTGTTTATCTACTTTTTACTTACCCAAAAAAAAAAATTTATTATTATTATTATTTTTGCCTTGCCTTGTTCTGAGCAATTAATTACAACAAGTTCTCAGCTTTTCTTGATGCTCTCTCCAATTTTTCTCATACCTTTTTTTCCAATTTTTCTCATACCTGTTTTTTTTTGTTATTGTTAAAGTTGATCAAGCCCAGAAGAAAAACAGTGCAGACTAGGAGGCTCATGAAACATACTCTACATTTTGTTATTGTATAGATTTCTGTTTAAAGGTTGGTAACAGTAATGTTAATATAACATTTTTCCATTAAAATAAACTTGTATCGATCAAAAGAAGGGTAGTTATATTTACTTCGTAATCAATATAATAAAAGAGTAATATAATGAAATCACTTTTGTGTCCTCTTCTCTTAGCGGAGGCATTAAATGCCTTAAGGTAGAGCCGCCACGATTTTGTCTTTATTATTAGTCCACGATTTTGTCTCTACAATTGGGTCAAAAATAGACTAACGTATTGTTATGTGTATAAAAGTCTCTATTTGAGTTTGGTATTGAGGTCAGCTTAAACCAGTTTTAAAATACGAAGATCTTTGTCTCTCCCTTTCTTGTTCTGAGCAACACTACAATGAGTTCTCATCTTTTCTTGATGCTCTCTCCAATTTTTCTCATACCCTTTTTGTTATTGCTATTGATCAAGCCAAGAAATAAAATTGTTGAAGCTAGGAGGCTCCCTCCTGGTCCTAAGAAGCTTCCATTTATTGGTAACCTGCACCAACTAGGTGACTTACCCCATAGATCACTTGAACATCTTTCAAATGAATATGGACCTCTCATGTTCTTGAAACTAGGTTCAGTGCCCACTTTAGTGGTCTCCTCAGCCGATATGGCTAGAGAGATCTTTAAAGAACACGATCGCGTTTTCTCAGGCCGGCCTGTGCTGTATGCTGCCAAGAAATTCAGTTATAACTGCTCTACTATGTCGTTTGCGCCCTATGGTGGGTACTGGAGGGAGGTCAAGAAGATTGCAATGACGGAGCTGTTAAGTGCAAAGAGGGTGCAGTCCTTTGATGCGGTGAGGGAGGAGGAGGTGACCCTTATGGTTGATTTTATAGCTCATTCTTCAAGTCCAGTCAACCTGAGTGAATTGGCGCTTTTGCTATCGAATAATGTTGTTTGTCGTGCTGCTTTCAGTCGAAAGAGTGATGAAAAAGGAGAGAATGGAAAGAACAAGTTTGATGAGATTCTTCATGAGACACAGGACTTGTTGGGTGGATTCTGTGTTGCTGATTTTTTTCCATGGATGGGGTGGTTCAACAAGTTCAGTGGCTTGGAAGAAAGGGTGGAAAAGAATTTTAATAAATTGGACAGGTTCTATGACAAAGTACTGGAGGAGCACCTTGACCCCAAGAGGCCTAAACCGGAGCACGAAGATCTTGTAGATGTGTTGCTTCGAGTTCAGAAGGATCCAAGTCAAGTGATTAGGCTCAATGATGAACAAATCAAGGCTGTTATAACGGTAAGTATGTAGCTTCTTTGCCTGCTCTAATTTCTTTGGACTCCTTTGGTTCTGTTTTCTGAGAATAGTTTTTTGTTTCCAAAATAATGAAAAAAAAAAAAAAAAAGTTCAAAATTTTGTCACTAAAAATTGAAAAAACTTAGAAAACTGATTTATATTTGATAACTAAACCAAATTGGTCTCTCGTTAATTCACTTTTTCGACTTGAAATTTTTGTGACTAAGGAAGAAATGTTTTAATTTGAGCATTGCAGGACATGTTCATTGCAGGAACTGATACATCCTCAGCCACTTTAGTATGGATAATGACAGAGGTCATTAGGAATCCATCAGTGATGAGAAAAGCTCAGGAAGAGGTGAGAGACGCTGTCAAAGGAAAAGGGAAGGTGGAAGAAAGCGATATTTCAAAACTGGTATACCTGAATTTAGTTATCAAGGAGACACTTCGACTCCATCCACCGGTCCCATTGTTGGTGCCACGAGAAACAACAGAGAGCTGCACAATTAGAGGCTACGAAATTCCTGCCAAAACAAGGGTGTTCTTCAATGCAAAATCGATAGCTACAGACCCAAAATGTTGGGAAAATCCCAATGAGTTTCGACCTGAGAGGTTCTTGAATAGCTCCATTGATTTCAAAGGACAAAACTTTGAGCTGTTGCCATTTGGGGCTGGTCGGAGGGGGTGTCCTGGCATCAACTTTTCGCTGGTGCTAATTGAGCTTGCACTCACGAATCTCCTGTATCATTTTGACTGGAAACTACCTCAGGGTATGAACCTAGAAGATATTGATATGGAAGAGGCATTTGGTCTTACAATGCACAAAAAAACTCCACTTTGCCTGGTGGCCACCCCCATCCCTGTATATATGTAAAATGAATAGAAATTAAGATTGAAGGTTGGAGATCTGAAACAGATTGTATTTATGTACAAGATCACCAATTACTTTAGTTACCTTGTAACCATGATCTATTCACACATAAACAGATGCATGAAGGAGAGGTTGGCTCAACTTTGCACACCTAAAGGGCATAGTGTCTACCAAAGCATGCACTGAAACTAATATGGTTATTGGCCATAATGTAGGTGATAATATTATTTACATAAATAAAGAGCTTAGTTCCATGTTAGTAAAGCCCATACGTACTAATATTACATGTTTATTCTCACTACATTTAGTGATTGAGATTGACCTTATGAGTTATTTTTTTTTTTTTTTTGACTGTTTGATATAATTCAGGGAAGTTATCGATCAGGATTAATGTAAGCAATTTAAAATTCTTTCTTTGTCGATGATTAGTGTGATTCAAGAATTTGATGTATTGTAACTACATTCAAAATTATTAGGTGAACATTGAGTTTTCAGATCCGGTTCGGGTTAATTTGGGAATGCTCAAGGATTCTCTGTACATAAGGTACCTTAGGCAACCATATTTTAAGAACATGCCACAGGTGACAACCGTGACATATGTAGGTCTGCATATTACCTACCAACCATATCTAAGCACAATTTTGCAATATTCTTGTCAATTGGAGCACTATACAGTCCATACCATCTCACTTAATCCATTGGTGGCTAATTACATAATTAGGTTACTATAGTCAGTATATGATGTGTTCTTCTTTCTATATATATATGCTTGAACTTAGGATTTGATGCTAAAAATTTGAATTTTTTTTTTTTTTTTTATTATATATCACCACTCTTTGCAAAGAAATGGCTTTTGTCATTGTGTGGAGATCATTGATATATATAAGCTTGAATACCTTTGCTCTCTCCTTTCTGCAAGGTCGGCCAAATTATCTAACTTCAGCCAAAGAGTATTCTTTCTGTAATATTGCATATATAGGAATATTCTCAGGATGAACCAATTTTATGTTAGCAAACTATTTGCATGCCTTGAATGCATGACTTCCTAATAGATAGGACTCCACCAAACACCTTCCAGTATAAGAATCTTCACCAATCTCACAACATGCATATCTATCGATTCTCTCCATCAATCTAAAATTCATGGAGCAAAAGAAACATTTCCCTATTGTTTTCAAATTTTCGGTCACTACCCTTTATTTGTTAGCGCAGTCTTTTGGTTTTTGTGCTGCTGGAAATCAGAGAGGAAAATGGCAGGTTCTTCTAAACAGCACAGGTGTGGTGGCCATGCACATGACACTAACCCACCACAACACTGTCATACTCTTTGACAAGACAGGCTCTGGCCCCTCCAATTACCGGATCCCTCGGCGCAACAACGGAACAGGGTGCACGGGGAACCGCGCCAGCTTGATAGATTCATCCTGCTATGCTCACTCCATTGAGTATGACATTTCTGGAAACACACTTAGGCCCCTGGTTAGGCTGGACACGGATCCCTGGTGCTCCTCGGGTTCTTTCCTGAGCAATGGAACCCTTATTCAGGCTGGTGGTTATGGCAGTGGCACGCGAAGAATCCGGTACTTTGAGCCTTGTGATGATGGACAGTGTGATTGGCGGCAATCAAGGACAATGCTATCCGATGGAAGGTGGTATGCTTCGAATTTGGTACTACCTGAGAAAGATAGGGTCATTGTTGTTGGTGGAAGAAGGGTGTTCACTTATGAGTTCCTACCTAAAGTGTCCTCCAAGGACACATATTCATTCAATCTTCCCTTCTTGCACCAGACTTATAGCAAAAGGGAAGGAGGATTCAATCTTTACCCCTTCCTTCACCTTCTACCGGATGGAAGTTTGTTCATTTTTTCTGACAGGGATTCGATCGCTTTTAGTTATAAACGGAACAAGGTGATCAAGACCTTTCCTAGGATCCCAGGAAATGGATCTAGGACACACCCGAGTACAGGTTCATCCGTGATTCTCCCTTTGGAACACAGTGACCGGTTCCAAAAAGCGGAGGTCATGGTGTGTGGAGGAGCAGCTTCAGGAGCTTATAGAGCTGCCAAACGAGGCAAATTCTTGGAAGGCTTGAGCTCTTGTGGAAGGATGGTGGTCACAGGACATAGGCACAAGTGGAAGATGGAGAACATGCCCGGACCTAAGCTATTAAACGACATGCTGATCCTCCCAACAGGTCATATTTACAATCATCATCATCGTCCTTGCCTTAATCTCCATATAAATGGGGTCCACCACATGAATTCTCTGTTCCCATTTTATTCTATTATAAGCAATTTGTCGTCTAAATATTTTACATTTTAAAGTCATTTCTAATGATTTCATTGATCCCCTCCAACAGGTCATATACTAATCATAAATGGCGCGCAAAGGGGATGTGCAGGGTATGACAATGCAGCAACTCCTTCTCTCCATCCTTACCTCTACAGCCCAAAGAAGCAACTAGGAAGAAGGTTTTCAATCCTGAAGCCCACTAGAATAGCTAGGATGTATCACTCCTCAGCCATTCTTCTTCCTGATGGGAGGGTCTTAGTCTCAGGTAGTAACCCTCACAGTAGGTACAGATTGAGAAATGTGACCTACCCTACTGAACTGAGAATGCAGGCTTTTATCCCACACCACATGGACAGTCAATTCCACCGTTGGAGGCCGAGCAACGTGTCGATATACTACAGCAATGGCACCAATGACATCCTGTATGGTCAAGAATTCTCTGTTAGGTTCCGGCTAAGGGGGAAGCCGGGCAGGGTGGTGATCAGTGCCTATGCGCCGCCTTTTACAACTCACTCGATTTCGATGAATCAGAGGATGCTGAGGCTGAGCTGCAAAAATGTGGTTAGGAATGGGGATGGTTGGAATAGTGCACTTGTGTATGCTCCTCCATCTCCTAATGTTGCACCTGCTGGATATTACTTGCTCACTGTTGTGAATGATGGAATTCCTAGCATGTCTCAGTGGGTTAGGTTCATACATGCCTGAGGTTTGTTTACTTGATTTTCTTTATTGTGGAATGCTTTGTTTTTAATCAAACACGTAATAATATAAGCTTTTTAAGCGAGAATATGCTGCTAAATAAATTCATGGTGAAGTGTAATATTGACTTGTTTAATTTACATTCTGGATTATATGATGATAAACACTTGAAAATGAGAAAAATGATTTTTAAAAAGTATTTTATGGTAAAACAAAAGTGTCGTAGTGTATAAAAATTTACTAATGATTTCACCATGACTAATATAATTTTCTTTGTTATTTCTTTTATATGGCCACAAGTTTTGACAATCTTCTCCCACACCTATTTTAATTCTTTTAAAATTTATTAAAATCCTCACTTTAGAGATTTCACTAGAAGTACATTTAATATAAGCTTTGTTTTCAAAAGAAAGTACCACCCAACAAGAAATTATTACCAAATAAAATGGAACTGATCCACAAGTTTTTTAAAAATTATTATTGCCGCTTGCGCGACTGTCCATTCACAATCACACTTCTTATAAGCTGAAAAATTAATAATAGAAGATGTAATTAATGCGTTTTTTCCTATCATATTGGAACTATGAAATTTCAACTTATAGGATCAAATTACCCTTTTATATTATTTTGGGTTTTATGTAATTGAATTGAAATAATATTATGAGATTGAGTTTTAATTGAAGTACTATTGTAACGATCCTAAACTGCATACCGAAAATAATAATAAAAAATAAAAAAAAAATTAAAATTTCGGCATGACCTCCGCTAAAAATGGTTCTACAACAACCTGTTCAAATGAAAAAAAAAACAAAAAAACAACGGCCTTTCAAGACCTATCCAACCTGCCCCAACACACCATACAAAAGAAATATAATACATTTCCCCAATACCACAACATCAACAACCTTCCCTAATTAACCCATCATCATCATCTCTTTCAACTTAAGCATTTACATGGTCTCAGTTTACAACAAAAATAAATCAGTATCTTAATTATGTTACAGGGCCATGATTTGCAAAAATAAATACACTTTTACATAGTTTGAGACAATACAAAAAAATGGGTTAAGAAACAAAAGATAACAAAATATAACTCCTAATCTTCTTCAAGCTTGCGGGGGATTGTCATCCGCCACTTCTTTTCCGAACCCTGAAAAATGTTAAATAATAGGGATGAGCAAAATTGCTCAGTAGGTAGTGCCTAAGGCACACCTTGTAATGACCCAAATCTTCATGGATCCGGATCATTAAACGGGTCCTTACCCGACCCAAAATCATCCAAGGGTAAAACGGTCATTTTACGTCAAAATTAAATAACAAGGTCCAAACGTCAAATTGGTAATTTTCCATGAATCCATAAATTGAGACTCAAGGGTATCATAGTCCTTTACTTGTACCATATAATAAATAAAATAAGGTTCGGGACAAAATAGTCCTTTTGGGTGGTTAAAATATAATTATTTCATTTTGGTGGGTCATAAAATAATTACGTGCAACATTACTTGGGGCCAAAATGAAATTATAAGAACTTAAAATTTGTAATTACATATGTGACGTAAACCGGTCGACGTATATGCATCAAACGTCGACTGGTTTGGGTTAGGAACAGTGGTAATAACCACTGCCAAGAAACCGGTCGACTGGTTTGGGATACCAGTCGACTGGTTCTGAAAATAAGTTATAATGGATACCAGTAGACTGGTTTGGGATACCGGTCAACTGGTTTGGGACGCATGCGACCATTCTGCCAAGATACGGGTCGACATTTGGGAAGCCACATGTCGACCGGTTCTGGGAAAATTGCACTCCCACTTCCCACTGTCCAGTGATAAGTCACTTACACCAATACTTGGTAATTAACCACCCCGCCACTACATTCACGTACAAAATTAAGATATACTTCAATATCAAATTGTAATAACAACCACCACGTTGGTAACGTAATTTACCATACGTCACTAAAACACACTAAACTGATTTTGAGTGAGTAATATTTAATTGTATTTTCTCAAGGATCATTCACAAACTTAATTACATTATCCAATGGCCATAATTGCAAACTTCTATACATTCTCCAAAAATTATGATTATACATGGAATGGCCGAATACAAAACAGCAAAAAAAATCATCTTCTAACAACTTTCAATTTTGAGGTGGATTGGCATCCGCCGGTTCTTTTCCAAGACCTGAAAAAAAAAATAATATATATAGTGGGGTGAGCAATATGCTCAATAGGCGACACTTAAGACACACATCTTGTGTCCTTATGAATCCAATCAAAGCATAGGCCAATGGGAAATGGGGATCATGCAATGTAGGGTTAAAACAACTTCAATGTCAATTCCAAGTGTAAACAATGCAATGCAATGCATGATATGTCACTCCCCATTTTTCATTTCTCAAGACCATACTTTCCAACTATTAATACAGCCCGCCCTTTGGTAACCCCGTCGCGACACGAGAGGAGAATTGGCTAGTGTCCCTGAACCTTGGTAACCCCGCGGCGTCATTATGGGGTCCAGCTAGCTCAACCACGCTAGGGCGACTCCCTAGTCCCTTCTAGGCTATATTAACCTCCGGCCCGTTGGTAACCCCGCAGCGACCGGGTTTATCCAAACCATTTCACAAAAACTCTTCTCCCAAAATTCCAGTTTTCATTTCAAAAACTGATTTCTCCCATTTCATGCAACCCAATGGCATGTACATGTATATGTATCTCAAGCTTACGATATTATGGCATGTAGAAGTTTTACATTTCATAATTACTTCACAACTAAGCATATATCATATTCAACATCATCAATTGAGTCATCAACACATTAAACACAACAAAACTATCACCACAACATGTTTTTCACATAAAACAAATCATAATCAAAATCATGAATTTCTCTAGACATCAATTACACAACATTGAAACAATTAACTCTCAAATTAAGCATATTTATCACACAAAGGAGATATAACTCACAATGGAATAAGAAGGAAGTGGATTAAGGGCCCCTACCTCAAGTTTGCACCAAAACCCTAAAGATGGGTCCTCAAATTCGAACTCCAAGAGAAGGCTCAAAACTGAAATTGTTGGTATGGATGCGTAGAGCTCGTCGTGCTCTCCGTTTTGCCTCAAACGGTACCCCAAAACTCCAAAGATTGAATGAGTTATGAAGCTTCAAAGATTGCTTCAAAAGGAAAAGAAAAATAAAGGAGAAAGAGAGAGAAGAAGAAATGGACGGGGAGAGAGAAAAATGAGAAATAGAAATGGTCTTTAGACCATTTGGTGCTCAATGGTGGGTCCCACCACTTTGAATTTCTTTTATCTTCTTCTTTAATTTCAATTTACACCACATGCACATGTACAATGCACCATATACAAATACCACTTAATCCACATAATCTAAAATGCCTAAAATGCAAATGGACCCAACCACAATCCCGAACACAACATGCAAAAAGACAGAAATACCCTTGTCTCCACAAATTATTGGAAAAATGAAAATACTGAAAAATCAGAAACATCACACACCTCTTGAGACCCCGTAAATCCACACAATGAATAGGAATAAGGAAATTGGGATCATACCATGCCGGGAGTAAAAGTATAACTATGATACCACGTCATTAATCCAATACCAAAAATAAATATGCCATGCATTGAGGTGCTGTGCCATGCAATGTCACTCCCCATTTTTCCAAAACCATTTCCATTATCATTTTCAAACTGTTAGTGAACCCGTCCCATGGCAACTCCGTGGCAGCACGAGAAGAGGATTGGCCACTGTCCCTGACCCATGGCAACTCCATGGCGTCATTTGGGGCCCAAGTAACTCAACCACATTAAGGCGGTCTCCCTAATCCCCTCTAGGCCTCACTAACGCCGCAGTCCCTAGGCAACTCCTAGGCGGCCGGATTTTTCACAAAAATTATTTTCAAAATTCTTTCCCAAAATCCATTTCCTTTCTTTCAAATCAATTTTTCCCATTCTATCCCAATGAATGCATATATGTCTTATGCATTTCAATGACATACCAATAGAAATTTTTTTATTTCTTACAAGTCAAATATTTACAATATACATGCCTCATAGGAATATTCTAGGAATTTATATCATGCTTCAAAATCATAAAATTCAGCATTTTAAAACACAATAGACATAAAATTTAGCATCAATCTTACATGGTTCTTTATCACATAACAACTAACATGTGTATATACACATCTCATATACAACACATAACCAATATGAAAAATAACACAAATTAGAACACAAATTAAAGACAAATTATGAAAAATAATTCACCAAAATCTAAGAGATTGTGGACTAAACACCCCTGCCTCAATTTAAGCTAAAACCCCCAATTTCTACCTCAAACCTTCAAAATGGGTCAAGATTTTCGGACTCCCTAGGTTGCTCAAATCTGAAATTGCTGGTACACACATGTAGGGCTCGTCGTGCTCTCCGTTTTGCCGCAAACGGCACTTAAAAACACTAAGAAATGAGGGAGAAATCAACAATTAGAACTTGAAGTGAAAAAAAAAAAAAAAAAGAAACAGAAGCCAAGAGTGAAGCAACGTGAGAAAGAGATGGGAAAAAAAAAATGGGTCTGGAATGACCCTTTGTCATTAAAACATCAGGTGGGTCCCACCTATATTTTTTAATTTCTTTTTTTCTTTTTCTTTTGCTTTTCAATTGCACCATACACATACATATATACACATATGCACGTATAATTATAAATAAGACACAGATATTACATTCTCCCCAACTTTAAAAGATTTTATCCCCGAAATCAAGACATACCTGAGGAAGAAAACAACGTTGGGTACTTGGAACGAACCTCCTGTTCAAGCTCCCAAGTAGCCTCCTCTACTCTGTGGTGTCTCCAAAAAACTTTCACCATTGGTATCGTCTTATTCCTCAACACCTTATGCTGTGTGTCAAGGATCTGAACTGGTCCCTCCTCGTAGGAAACATCCTCATCAATGTCCACATCAACCCAACTCAAAA